GTCCCTGTAATGTCGGTCGTCGATATTGACAGATTGAGTGTGCAGACTAGGAGGGTGACGCTGCGTGTCACATGCGGTATATTGGTGCTGACGTGGATCGATGTCGGGAGCTTCCGATACCGTCGATGTCCACGACGGAGGAGACGGAGAATGCTCTGCATCCATCTGATTACATTACATTACATTTGCGATTTATATGCCGCCCTATCCATGAGGCTCAGAGCGGTTTACAGACAGGTTTACAGACACACAATTTTTTATCTAAGCTAGGGGTACAATGGTGAGGGGTGGTATTTCCTAACTATGCACCTAACAGCAGGATCTTTTTCTTGAATTCGGCGGTGGATTCGATGGTGGTTCTGTTTCCTCAAGGGCGAAGATGTCCAGTGTTGTAGTATAGATTCTCTGCAGTAGCGGCTCCTTTCCAGCAGATGGCCCCACAGAACACGAACGAGGCAGCTTGACTCTTTGTCCAATCGGCTCCAGTCTTCGCTGCAACGTCATGCTCCTTCAGGCACCGGTCTCCGTACTCGCTTGCCGCCATCTTCGCCTTATCTTCATCGATCCAACACCATTGCTGCTGCTTTGTAACACCGATCATGGAGGAAAGGTGCCCCCCGCTTGTAAGCAAGCTACAGCTGTAATGTATAATCTGCAATGTAATGTATAATCTGCAATGTGTATATTTGTTGTGACGAGTTAATGGTCTTATATTGCAGGGCTTTTGCCTATTTCCCCCCCTGAAATCAAATCTAGCATATATTCCCACAGAGATAACTTGTACCTGCTCAAAATAGCTTGGTTGTTTGATATTTTAAGTTAAAGTGCTGAGGATGAATATACTTTCCTTTTCTGTTAGAGCTAATTTTCTCCCTTCTTCTTTACCTGGAGCAGAATGAGCTATTTTCTTGTTGCTTTTGCATGGTTTCCACCACTATGAAAGTGGCTGAGAAGTGAGAAAACCTGCTGGGTTTTCTACAGTCTCAGTTTTACAGACTGATGGTAGCACAGAACCTGGATTCAGCTACAGTTCCAGTGAGACACCAAGGAGACCATGCATAATTGGTTCCTTCAAATTGTAACTGGTGCTCCTCTGCTGCTACCTCGGAGGGGGGCACTTTAAACAGCCATTATTTTCTATAGACGATAGACCTGGCCTACAGAGTTCAGGTCTTCACCTCTAGGAAATACCTGAACTTGGGAATCATGGGGGGGGGGAGCATTCATTGGTATTGGATATTTCCTATTCAATCCTGGAAAGATTTGGTGTTTTATTGGATTAGCAACCCAGTATCTATGGTTTCAAGGCAAGAACAAATTTTGGGCTTTTCACAATGTTTATGGCTTCTTAATAGAGAAAAGCACTCATTGAATTTTGAGGAGTAAAGGAGTGCCTTCATATTCAATTAAAACAATGCTTAACATACTGCTCGTCCCAGGATTGGGTGCATGAAGATTTTACCACTGTTTCTCTGTATTGTTGACTGGATAACCCATACCCGGCATAATATAACATAGACTTTCAAAATCAGTTTACATAGATGAGCATACAGCCCTAATCTTTCCTCTTACTTCATATCTAATCTTCTCCTAACCCGTTCATTTTATTTTCAGCTTAAATAGATTTTCCCACTTCTTATTAGCTATTTCTTCATCTTTACCGTTTAATATACTTGATAGTTTATCCATTTCGGCAACTTCAAACCATTTCTGAACTACTTCTAATTTATCTGGTATTTTTTCAGTTTTCCAATACTTAGCGTAACACATTCTGGCAGCGGTTATACAGTGTAACAACAGACTCCTCCCTTCTTTCCCACCTATTTCTGGTACGATGTTTAACAGAAAGATTTCGGGATTTAGAGCAATCAGCACTTCCAAAACGTCTTCTAACATCTTTCTAGTCCTCAGCCAATATTTTCTGGCCTTAGTACACGTCCACCACATGTGGAAATATGTGCCAATATTCTGTCGACATTTCCAACAAATATTTGTCGAGGTCTCAGAGTACTTTGCCAATCTTGAGGGGTATAAGTACCACCTATGTACCACTTTATAAATATTTTCTTTGAAAGGAGTCACCCTCGTGATTTTTATGTTTGTCTCCCATATTTTCAACCATTTATGCTGCTCTATATCATGCCCTAGATCTTTATTCCATGCTCTTAAACTGGCCCATATCACTTCTTCCTGTGTTTTCCCGTCTAACAACATTTTATATAACCTCTTTATCAGTGTATAACCTCTTTATCAGTTGTACCTCTGATGTAAACCATATCTTATCCATGTCTGTCGCTTTATCATAGAACCCAATTTTCAGATCTTCTTTAAGCCTCGATTTTAACTGCATATTCTGGAGCCATGTCAGTTCTATTTTTTGTATTTTCAAGATGTCTATTGATTTTAAGTTATTCTCTATCTACACCAGTTTGGTGTAGTGGTTAAGTGCGTGGACTCTAATCTGGGAGAACCGGGTTTGATTCCCCACTCCTCCACTTGCACCTGCTACTTGTCTGCGGGAATTGTCCCAGTAATGTCGGTCGTCGATATTGACAGATTGAGTGTGCAGACGAGGAGGGTGACGCTGCGTGTCACGTGGTATATGTGAGCTTCCGATACCGTCGGATACCGTCGATGTCCATGACGGAGAAGGAGACGGAGAATGCTCTGCATCCGATTACATTACATTACATTTGCAATTTATATACCGCCCTATCCATGAGGCTCAGAGCGGTTTACAGACAGGTTTACAGACACACAATTTTTTATCTAAGCTAGGGGTACAATGGTGAGGGGTGGTATTTCCTAACTATGCACCTAACAGCAGGATCTTTTTCTTGAATTCGGCGGTGGATTCGATGGTGGTTCTGTTTCCTCAAGGGCGAAGATGTCCAGTGTTGTAGTATAGACTCTCTGCAGCAGCGTAGTTTTAAGAGTCTACTATTAGAGAGTGTTGCCCATTCCCTTATCCACACTAAGGCCGCAGCCTTGTAATATAGCTCCCAGTCCGGTAATGCGAGACCACCTATCTCCTTCCTGCTTTGTATCAGCTGTAGCTTGAATCTTGGGGTTTTTTGCTTGCCAAATAAACAAAGAACAAATCTTTCCCAGTTCTTTAAAGAAGACCTGATTCCTAACAATAGGTATTGTTTGGAAGAGAAACATTAATTTCGGTAAGACTGACATTTTAATGGTAGCAATTCTACCTAGCAGGGATAACTGTAGATCTTTCCAATTTTCCAAATCTTTCTTGACTTCTAAAAGTGTGTTCCTATAATTATCTTTATAGAGTGAACTACATTTATTTGTTATCCAAATACCTAGGTATTTAATCTTCTTGGTTACTACAAACCCTGTTTTTTCTTGTATCATTTTTTCAATATTCTTAGGGCAATTCTTTGTTAGTACTTTAGACTTTTGGTAATTTACCTTCAATCCCGCCGCCTGACCATATATTTGTAAGTTGTGAGTCAGGTTCACTAAAGATGTTACAGGTTCTTCTAATACAAATACTAAGTCGTCGGCGTAAGCCTGTACTTTAAATTGTTCTCCTTTAACGTCTAATCAGAACTTTATGGCTTCTTAATAGAGAAAAGCACTCATTGAATTGTGAGGAATAAAGGAGTAACTTCATATTCAATTAAAACAATGCTTAACATACTGCTCGTCCCAGGATTGGGTGCATGAAGATTTTACCACTGTTTCTCTGTATTGTTGACTGGAGATCATTGTCTTAGTGTCATAAAATTCAATGAAAGCCATTAACTCAGGTGAGATGAACTGTGAGTGAAATAAGAGACACGATTAAGGGATGAGCAAAACCCTACCACCTGCTACTCACCACTACGATATGTTTTTTCTATAAAATGAAACTGAAAGAGACAAAACACAGTGTGTGACATGTGATTGAGATTTAAAGGTGATACAGCAATACATCATTTCTTAAGTCTAAAGAATGAGAGCCTGCATGGTGTAGTGGATAGAGTGTTGGACTAGGATGTGGGAAGCCCAGGTTTGAATCTCCACTCTGCTATTGAAGCTTGCTGGCTGACCCTGAACCAGTCACATTCTCTCAGTCTAACCAACCATGCAGGGTTTTTGTGAGGATAAAACACAGAAGAAGAGAGCAAAATAAGCTGCTTTGGGTCCCTACTGGAGAGAAATGTAGGGTATAAATAAGGTATATAAACAAACAAACGTCTGGGATATTACCACTATAAGATTTTTTATGTGCTGAATGTTTTGTGAAGAGAGGGAAAATGTGTGCTTCATTTTTAGAAACAATAGTCATTTACAGAAAATAATATTTTAATTCTTCTAAAGTTTATATACAAAGAGTAAGTGGGTTATATTTTTAATGAATCATCCAGCATTAGCACAGTACTGGAAATACAAAATCTGTCATGTTTCTAAACATGAATCCTGAGTAAGGACAGAACATATAGCATTATTGACTAAAATAGCAGAATCTCTTCATTATCAAAACAGTGAAATAGCTTTAATGTTCTATTACAGAACAGGAAAAAGGCAACAGGTGTATATTCAGTCAGTTAGCCTGTAATATATATTCAGCCTGCAAACCTGACCATCTTCAGAAAAAATAGAATGGCAGGTTATGCGCCACAGTTAAAAGCATCAAACAGATGCGCATGGGATTCAATTTTAACCATAAGCCATTATTCTGGTTGCAGTCATCAAATAGTTAAATTAATCCAAGATAACTGCATTAAGAAAACTACTTAAACCAAACAAGTGTGAACTGCAACATTCATACTAATAGATAGGCAGAGTGATTTTGAAATTCACATTAAAAATAAAATACAAATTCCAGAACATTAAAGGTATTTAACCACATACCTCCTATAAGCAAAATGTTTTGATGACTTTGGTAACTGAGGCTGTTGGTTTTTCCCCCCAAAACTGTGAATACCACTTCAGTAATAAACAGCTGTTTTCAGCAAGGCAACTAAACAGTATTTAAACATCAGGTTGTGCATAAAGTCTTTGTATTGTGAAACGCAATGTTCAGTACATTTCTGGATAAAGTTTTTGAATTCTATTTGATAAAAGTGCATAGGAGTGGAATACTGCCTGAGAAATAAATGTCTGCTCACAGTAATCAGATCTTTGTTAGTTTTATCATCTGTGTTAGTCTTCAGTCAGTACTATGAAAACATATTCTTTCTGGAACCCTCCTATATACCATTCTGAAAAGGTCTCATACTGTTTTTCCTTCTTGATGTCGTTCCTCTTCTTCATCTGCTTCCTCAATAACTTGAATTTCATCTGTATTGCCCAACAATGTGTTCTCTGACTGTTTACTCTCTTCAGATTTATTTAGCTCTTCTTCTTCAGTCATTTTCTTCCATACTTTGTGATTTTCATTCAAATGGTACATTAGCTGACAGAACATTTGCTGTCTATTTTTTCTTTGTGGCTCTGAAAAAAGGGAAGTGGAATATCAACTTTTAAAACCTAGTCCCAAATAAGCAATTTCTCTGTTTCATGATGTGGTAAAATAATGTTCTGCACAAAACAAGTATTAGTTTTTTATTGCAATCCAAACACCCACCACTGTACTACTACTAAATCCACCTGAATGAGACTATGAATATTCTTTCAATTGTAATTTTAGTTGTTTAAGTGGGAACCAGGAGGGCAGGCTGAGAAAAGGGAGGAATAGCCAATAAATTTGAACTTAAAAATGACGAGCCTTCTGGTAAAGCTGGAATGAGAAAAATGGGGTTGCACTTACCTGTAACAGTTGTTCATTGAGTGGCCTTCTGTGCAGGCACACGTGGGGGACTGCAAGATTGCATGTCTGCCATGGAGGAGGGCTTCCAAGCTATTAAAGAAGTTTCTAGGCTCTAGGAGTGCTCCCCCTCCCCTCTGTCTGCAGAGATCCCTTTCTTGCCCAAAGGGCCAAGTGACAGGTGGGGCGAGCACTCCTCCCTCAGTTCCCTTCGCTGCCATGAAGAGACCTTTGCTTCGTCAGCAGCCCACAGCAGGGAAAGGGGTGCAACCCCATTTTCATCATCGTGGCTTCTGTCCCACATGGGAGAATAGCAAGCTCACTTACCAGAGGAGGAGGGTGTGGGCTGACCAGTGAAACACTGCCTTTCCTACTTCAGCTTCGTCTCTGGAGTCCACAACCATCAAATAGTGCTTGACAAATGTCGAAGGAGTGGACCATGTTGCTACTTTGCAAATATCCTCCAGATCAAGTCTGGCTTGGAATGCTGCTGAAGCCTGTGCATTTGTGGAGTGAGCTTTCAGAGGAATGGGGCAAGACACCTTAGCTTCAGCATAAGCTGTTCAAATTGCTGAAACCTCCCATCTAGGGAGAGACTGTGCCAATGTGGCTGTCCCTTTATTTGATCCCCTGAAATACGTTTCTGTCTTTTCTGAATTCCTGTGACCTTTTAAATTAAAAAGGAGTGCCCTCCTCACATCTAAAGTGTGTTAATGTTTGTTCTAACGGTGACGTCAGGGACAAGAACGACGCTGGAAGGTTGATGTCTTGGTTAAGATGAAACTGTGACACCACCTTGGGGAGAAACTCTATACTGGGTCTGAGGACTACTTTGTCTGAGTGGAGTTTGATAAAGGAAGGATCACAGTGAAGTCCCTGTAGTTCTCTCATCTTTCTAGCAGATGTGACTGCCACTAAGCAGGAGGACTTGCATGAAATAAAGGACAAATCAGAACTGGCTATAGGTTCAAATTGTTTATACATTTATTTTGATAGAACTAGTGACAAACTCCATTAGGGAACCAGGGGTACAACAGGTGGAAACATGTTAAGGAAACCTTTAAGGATTATTATTTTTTTGATTCAGAGGCAGAAAAAACTGGTCGCTCTCTAATTGGGTCATGGTAAGCAGAGATGGCGGCTAGGTGAACTTTTATGGACGGGGTAGCTAAGCCACCTTCTTTTAGTTCCAAGAGATAGTAAAAAACCCTGCTAGAACTGCAGGATTGTGGGTTGAACCCTTGCCTGTTCCCCACACAACACGAATATTTTCCATTTGTACTCATAGGGCCTCATCATGGGTTTATGAGAGGCTGTTAAGACTTGCTCTACCTTTTTTGAAAAGTTCCCTACTGCAGGATTTGCCAAGCAGCTAGGTGCGACAAAATGTGAGAGCAAATCTGATAGCCCTCAACTCTAACAAATTGATATGCAGGGTGGACTCTTTCCTAGTCCCTAACCCCTTTCTTCTTACTCCCTGACAATGAGCTCCCCACCCAGTGAGGGAAGCGTCCGTAAACAAATGCACATCATGAGATTGCACTTCTAGAGGGATTCCTCTGAGGAGGTTGTCGGATCATAAAATGGCTCTCAGGACGGATAATTTCTTCCACTGGAGTCAAAGTTCCTTATGAACCAGTTTTGTAATAGCCTCATATGTAAACGTGCATATGGGACCACCACAGTAGTTGAAGCCATTATAGCCCAGAGGTTTCTGAATGCATCTGGCTGGCTGAAATCTGTTGGATAAGAACTTCCGTACAAGGGCCATCATAGTTTTGGCCCTTGGAAGGGGCAAGTATGCCTTTCTTTCTATGGCATTCAGAGATGCCCCAATAAAGCCAATAGATTGGACAGGAGTCAGGTAGGAATTCTCCTAATTTACCAGAAAACCTAGGAACTGGATTGTGCTTAGGGCAAGCCTTAAACATGAAGTCAGTTTATCTGCGGAGACATCTACATAGAGCCAATCATTGAGATAAGGAGATACTGTACAGCCTCTTAACCTTAAATAGGCAATGACTTCTGCAATGCATTTTGTAACTACACTAGGTGCTTTGGCTAGGCCAAATGGGAGCACCATATATTCGTAGGCAGCCCTTGACAAACAAAATCTTAACTATTTTCTGCAGACTTTGTGAAGGGAGACATGGGAATAGGCATCTTTCAGGTCTAGTGTAGTGAACCAGACATTTGGACCCATGAGGGACATCGTGAATGAATAACATTCTGAACTTTGACAAATGCAAATGTTTATTCAGAGATCTTAGGTCAGAGTGTGTCAGCCTGGTATGGGAAGCCGAGGAGAGTGTGGTGATTTGACTGGTGTACCGACCGTCCAACGCACCAGCCAATAGTCTGCCGTCCCTGCTAGAGGCCGTATCAGGCTGGGCCTTGGAACACCCTAGGCTGTTAGTCTTGGGTGATTTCAATGTCCATGCTGATGATGCGACCTCTATGCAGGCAGTGGACCTAGTGTCATCCACAGCAGCCCTGGGACTCTCCCAACTGGTAACAGCCCCCACTCACCAGGCTGGACACATGCTCGAATTGGTCTTTGCACAGGAGTTACAGTGGACCGGATCACTGCTTCGGCAGTGCCACTTCGCCTTGAAGGCCCAGCTAAATATTCCATTCTGACCCTGTTTGGGCGGCGAGCTGATTTGGGCTCGCCTGTGGAGCCAAATGGACCCAGTGCGGTTTCGGGAGGCTTTGCGGGATCCTAAGCCCCCTGGCGTCTCATTAGATGAGCTTGTAGAGGATTGGCATGGCTGACTCTCGACAGCCATCGATGAGATTGCTCCCTGGCGCCCTCTGCACCCCCGGACCAGGCCCATTCCATGGTTTACCCAGGAGCTGTGGCTGATGAAATGGGGGCTGAGACGGCTAGAGAGGCAGTGGCGGTGGGTTATAGGATCAGACGGTTGAGGTTCTGAAGCATGAAACTCTAACCCCAGGGATTTTGCCATTCGGACTAGCTGCTTGGAATACATCTTGAGGTCCTCCGTGAGCAATGAAGCCAAAAGTTCACCAACTGTGTCATCAGAAGATTGTACTGACGTGCTCTCGCAACCCACTTCTGACATCTGGTGAAGATCATCTTTGGAATCTGACTCGTGATGGGAGGTCCCTTCCCCAGCCTGACATCAAGAACAGTGGTCTCCTTTGGATGCAGTGGACTTTGGAAGTTGCCAGGGATATGGACCTCATGAAGGTGCCCACTGAGGTGGCATCATGAATGGGAATGGGCCGCACAGATTCTGTTGAGATGGCCATTGCATTGGTGGTTGCTGATCAAGCTGCCTTCTTTCCGATGGCGACAATTCAAAGACTTCATCTGCTGACAACTCTGGAGATTGAACAGCCCATCTCAATGGTAAAGGTGTTTTCAGATATGAAGACGGGTCAATCTCGACTCTTGATGGCGAGCTCTGGTATCGAGGGGACCTTGACCTAAAAATCATCGGTGTCGACATTTGACTCCAAGGGGATTCAGCTTGTTGGTGCCAAGACAGGGAGGATTGTTAGTTCCAGGAGGATGGTGAGGCTTGGCCCCATGGGGACTGAGACCATTGGTCTCAAGGTGAGTCTGAACGCATTAACGTGATGGCAATCCAGCTGGACTGTGGTGGAAACAGTACACCTTTTTCTTAGTTTTCTTTGGAGGTGGTTCTGAAGCTGATATGACAACGACAGGTTGGGCTTGCACCTCCGATGTCAAGGGTGTTGGTGCCAAAGTTACTGAATGGGGCCTCACTCCATTATCAAATTGGGGCCACTTTCCCTCATGGTGGTTTGGAGCACCCAAGGTTTTCTCCCATAAAGCAGCTTTTGGTCTTGCCGCTCTGCCCTCTTGGGTTTTAGGAGTAAGTTGATAGCATGCTGGACAAGTAGTTGGGTCACGCCCTCTCCCAGACAGAAGATATGATCTATGACCATCATTCTGGGGCATTTTCGCTCCACAGTCCTCACACCTCCCCCCCCAGATTTTATTATTTTATTGAAGACAAAGACAAAATACAGATTCTCACCACAGCTTGCTTAGCAAAACATCAGAAGTCATGAAGGCATATAGTCCATAGCCATAAGATAAAATCCAATAGTGAAAATCTGTACTTTCCAATAAGCCACACTAACAAGAGTAGTTTATAATAATATCAATGAATAAATGTTCTATATGAGTTTGTGAGTTGGTTGTCTGAGTAACAAATTGCTTGGGGCTGTGTTCAACATAGGGTGTCTCAACAGAAAGCAGAACAAAGGGTATGTTAGAAATGAAGCCATGTGTGGTAACTCGAATTAGAGGGAATAATTTCATGTTCTGCCATGATTTGTAGCACTGGAGCCCAAATACGCACAAATGTGTTGTAGACTTTACTGGAGCCAGAATGTGTTTGGTCCATGAATTTGGAAATCTTGTGCATTATAAATTAATCCCATATCTTGTTATGCCAGGCAGTCAAGGTTGGAGGCATGGAGTACTTCCAAGCTGTCATAATTGTTAATTTAGCAGCAGCAAGCAGAACAGAGTTAAGGTCTTTGTCTGTATCTCCCCAAGCAGAGGAATCCCACAGTTTAAAAGTAAACGTTCTGGAACCATCCGAAGTGACTGTGAAGTAATTTTGTTGATCTGAGACATAATTTCACTCCAAAATTGTTGAATGACTGGGCATTCCCACCAACAGTGGAAATATGTGCTGTGGAGCCACATTTTTTCCAACAGAGGGGGCTGTATCATGGGTTCATTTTATTCAGCTTTTTTGGTGTTGATAAATTTGAAAAATTGCGTGCAAATGTTAAAGACCCTAGATTTGTTCACAGGAGAGTTCCAGATGGTGAGCCAGAGAGATTGCTGTGGATCAGTTTGAAGATTGTCCTTCCACAAAACTTGGCAGGGTAAAGTGTGTTTACTGTCCACTGTCAGCAATATCTTGCATATTTTGGAGAACAGCTCCTTCATTGAGACATGGTAAGTGTTGAGGAGAGTCTCAAAATCTGTTTTCGGTCTCTCAAAAGTGCCAGATTTGGCCAGAAATTCTATCATGTTTTTTAATTGTAGGTAACGGTACCAAGGGATTGGTTTCCCTAGCAGTCCTTCCAAGTCTATTTTGTCCCTCATTTTGCCATGTTTTACTAGGTCTAGGGGATGTGAGAAGCCAACTGAGACCCAGTCCTTAAAAACTCCTGGTTTCATACCTGGAGGGAAACAGGGTTGATTTGTAAATGTTGTAAACTGTGACATAACCGGGGCAAGATGTGTCTTCCTACCATCTCAAGCTTTGAGTGTAGCGGCTAAAAAGTTGCTGTTTCGCAGGTGTGCAGGGTGGCGCGAAGGAGGCAGCCAGAATACTTCCTGCAAGCGGGTTGGAGAAACTGAGGTCTGTTCCATCTGCATCCAGCTTGTTACAGGGTCCACGTATAGTATCCGGACAACATTGCAGCCTGATCATAGGAACGCAAGAAAGGCAAATATAGACCTCCTATTGAGGCAGGTCTGCTTAATACTTGATTTACTCGAGACTTCTTGAAAGCCCAGAAAAAATCAGTTTGTGTCGCAAGCAGCGGCTAGGAAGGTTCACTACTGACTGCCACCACTCTGGTATGGGTCTCCTTGGGAGGGCCCAGAGCACCTACCCTACCACTTTTTTACAGGACTTTTACAATAGGTTTCCCTTGTACGTGACCAAATGAGGTGTGAGGACCCAGGCAGAGCAACAGCAAGTTTTATTAGGAGATTTAACAACAATTTTAGATCAATAACAAGTAGGAAAAATGAGCAAAGACAGGTAAATCAGCAAAAGCATAAATCCTAATGCGTCTGTCTACACAGTCCTAGCCTTCCCTAGGTACCTGTTCACAGTAACTCACCTCTTTTGGATGAGGGATCCCTCTGTCTGCATCAGCTTCCACCAGCCCTGCTCCCTGAGAAAGAACACCTTCCCACTCTAAGTAAGGCCTTTTATCTCCTCTTCCCAGGCACCGCCCTCTGCTCCCCTACTGATGTAGTCATCCTTCCAAAATCTCCTTTTACCCAGTCACAGGATCCAGAGAGAACCTGGGAAATGTAGGCCCTAATGACTACTCCAATTCAGGCTTCCCTGGAGCCACTAGGCCCAGGGTCACGACAGTGTGCACTGCCATTTGTTGAAAATTACATCTGGGATGAAAATGGGAAGGGCTCTAAAAAGAAAGAGGAATCAAGGAAAGACAAAACTTCTTTATGAGATGAAGATGGCCCGATAATGTAAACTGTAAGGCGTTCCAGTCCTTAAGACGTAGTTGGATATCTTGGTGTAGGTGGTCATAATTATAAGACATCAAGTTTTTAAAATCTGGGGTGTTTGCACCATCTAAAAGGGAATTCTTGTTTGAGGATGGTTTGTATTTCCAGAGATAAAGAGATCGGGTACAGCTCCGATTTCGAGGTGGAAAGAATCTCTTGGATAGTCGGGAGAGAACATAATGGTTTTGTTACACAGAGTGTTAGGTTATACAGATTCACCGTATGTTCCTGTTTTCCAATAGTGAACCCTGAAAAGTTTTCATTTTGCTGAAGTTCCTCTGCTTGAGGTTCTATGGCTAGTGCAAAGATTAGTGAGGAGAGAGGACATCCTTGCCTGGTACCTTGTAGGGCAGAAATTATGAGAATTGTGACTGTTGACCAGTACTCTAGATTTTGGTTGTAAGTAAATTGATTGTAGAGCCCTTAGGAAAGTAGTTCCAAATCCCATCTTCTGTAGTAGTATAAACATGAATCCTCACACTTTTTGAAAAGAGCCATCCTACCGATTTTGTAGGTAAGATTTTTTGAACTTGTCTTTGAGGCCCCCCGAAGCAGGTGTATTGAAAGCACGTCCTCTCCTCATAGCGGCAAGAAGAGAACTGAGGGAGAAGTGCTTGCCCCACCTCTGTCATTTGACCCTTTGGGTGGGAAAGGGATCTCTGCAGACAGAGAGGAGGGGGAGCAACTAAAGCTTGGAAGTCCTTCTCTGCAGCAGGCCTGCAATCTTGCAGTCCCCCATGTAAGACTGCACAGAAGCTATGACAATGAATAGAGATAGAAACAACCATTGGTAGCAGGGGAAGAGGATCAAATATTTTCATAGAAATATTTGGTACAATAAACAACCTCCAAACATACTCATAATACTGAGAGAAGAAAGTGTTGTGTAGTGCAAAGGGTGTTAGTATCTGGGAGACATGGGTTCAAATACCCACTTATGCCATGGAAGCTTGCTAGGTGATCTTGGGCCCGACATATTGTCTCCGCCTACCTTACTTCACAGGGTTGTTGTAAGGATAAAATGGAAGAGAGGAGAACCACGCAAGCTGCTTTAAGTCCCCATTGGGAAGAAAGGAGGGATACAAATGAAATAAACAAATATCATACAAGAAGCTGAATTTAAATCTAGTTCAAAGAAATATTTAGTCTTACTTGTGCCAATATCGTCCATTTCATCATATTCACTATCTAATTCTTCTATATCATAATCTTCAGAGCTTTCCATGTTATCTTCTTTTTTGTCAATCCACTGGCCTGGGAGCAAGCCAGCTGCATCATAAGAATTACATAAGGGACCAACAATGTGAGTAATAAAAGATTCTTGCAATTTTGCCAGTTGAGGAGAATGGCGGTCCATAAAAGGGCTAATAGGTAGCCCTAAACTTGCTTCTTCATCTCCCTGTAGAACACACAAAAAAGTCTTTATATCTGCTAACATAATTTAGTAAATAGAACAAGTGTGTCTATAAAGTGTAAACAGATTTCTTGTAAATAAGAGAAAAGTTTAAGACAAGCCTAATACTACTTCAGAGAGAACGATATGGTTATAACAGTGCTGCATGTTCCACACAGGACTAGTACTTACTAGTATTCAGAAACCATGAAATACAAACTAAGATTTCCCTCTTGCTCTGTGTGGATTAGAAGTATCATGATTTTCTATTAATCCTCTAACAAATTACTTTATCAGGTCAAACATCGAGCCACAGCAAGACATTCAGGGAGACCGAAAATGAGGGCAGTCCATTTAACAAATTTAATATCTACATTTATTCATTAGCATTAAGAAAATTCTGGAAGGAACAAACATTAGACCACAGCAACAAAGTTAGACCACAGCAACAGATGTTATAGTCTGCTCTGGCTGTAAAAATATTCATAATGAAAATGTTTACCAGGATATAGTCTCTCTAAAAAAAATTCTTTTCCCACTAGTATGCAATATATGGAGTTGTATCCTAGCTAACAGCGGTACTTTCCACTGGTGCAAGGAGACATCCTGTATCACAAGAAGACCTTCCACCAGTATTTCGTTCAATGTAATTCCCATAGAAGAGCCTGTTGTGTCAGAGGAAAGTGCCTTACATCGAAGGCGCATGTTGTTTGGATCTTTTGTATAATGAATATATACTATTGTATAGTACATACCAACAATGATGCTCCTCCTTTTGCAGTCTGAGTGACATTATGCCATTCCCTATTTTCATCATCTTTGTTTGGCAGGAAAAGAACCCATGTTTAACAACATACCAAAATACCTGGAAGAATACTGGGCTGGATCTCACGGATACGCTTGCACAAAAAGGGGGGATTTTGTTTGTCCCTTCTCGCTGCAGCTACATTTGCTGCATGGTGTTTTGTTCATAACAGTCACCTGAACCCTAGGCAGTGGGTTAATGGATTATAAAACGGGCTTCCAAGAAGAGGGAAAGAGGGGGAACTCCTCTTTCATAAGCTCCTTGTGTTCTCACATCCATGGAATATAGCCATGCATGACAAACCCCTGATGCTTCGCCACTCCCAGGCAGATTTTCTCGCCAAAAATATTTTTAGTTCCCTTCAGTGACTGAGCCACCCTTCAGTAGCATGTATTTCTTCTTTATTTTATAAGCCTTAAGTATCCCACCCTGTCACAGATATTAGTTTAGGCTTATGACCCAGCACAGGGACTAGGGGGAATACAGGAGCTGTCTTCTTTTAAAATACCCTCATGAAATGGCATGTGAGGCAAAACTAACTTTCAAAAACAGAATAAAAAGTTTATTAAACAAGCAGGGAAACACACACACATAACACACACACATATATATGCATACACACACACACATATATATGAGGAATCAAGGTTCAGAGATGCTGAGAGTAAACTTTCTAATTTGTACAGATTTGAATTCTTAGAACATACAAGCGAGTGTTATTGTGGCTTATTTTCAGAGTTTCAAGATCTTTACAATGAGAAGTGTTTTGCTTAGTATATTTTAGCACTAATGCAGATTCTTAATACTGTTTTCTGGAGAATAGCATTTGCTTATAGTTTCTAGATTTCTCCCATCAGTTCTAAGTCTTCCCTTTAGATATTACAGCTTTTCACTAATTCCTGAGGCATCTAAGCTTCTCCCCTTAATCACAGACCAGGGTTCTATTCCCAACCCCTTTCACTGGCAGGAAGTTATTCTCCTTGTCCCTAAGAAGCAATAGCTCAGTTTCCTGTTTGGCTTGTATGGGAGTTATCTCTAACTACCCAGACCTTCTGCCAAATCCTTATCCAGTATCTGTTGTCTGTATAAAGTGGTGTTGTAGCTTTCTTGACTGAGAATCTGAATTCTCCCTCAGCTTAGTTTTAATATACCTTTGACAATGCAGTCCCCTTTCTTCTTCCTATAGAAGTACTTTTCTGACAATTCCCTGACAGAAATCACTGACTCAAAGTCTCTGCCCTCAGAAGCCAAATCCTCTGGCTACTGAGCTAGATGTTAGATTTCAGACTAAGACCAAAAAGCGAATGGATCCCCCCAGATCAGCTGGTTTTCCCCCTCTCTAAGCAGATGCTGGCCAATCAGAGAGCAAGTAGAGCAATCGCATAAGCTCTTCTCTCCAAGGAAGATTAACTCATAATCTCTCTGACTCTCTCACCCAAGCAGCATTTTAAAACCTGCTTTGTCTTGCAATTCTGTCACACCATGATCTTCTGAAAGATTCATGTAACTATGGAGGCACAGTGGGCCTGAAGCAATAGCCTTGCCTTTCATGAAATGACTGGTTTCTTTATAGAGGCTCTTTTAAAAGCTGATTTCCCAAGCCTACCTGTTCATAAAATTCATTAACAATGCCTTCTGTCCATTTCAAGTGCAAATCTCTTGCTTTTGCTGGGCCATTGATATCTGCCAGTTTGATGCACATCTGACACACTAACAGGCGATCACTTTCATTGTTCCACTCAATACCATGATTGTTTACATCACTGACCTGTTTGAAGGGAAAAATAGTTCTGAATATTCTGGTGCATTCTATGTATAGTAGACTTGGGGCTCATTGCAGTAATTGTTTTTCAAATAGTAGTCCTTAAATGCATTTATTACCTATTCCCTTAAAGACTAACAACATTTATTTCAATATAAACTGTCATGTGTGAGGAAGTGACATCTGACACAAAAGCTCATATTGAAACAAATATTGGTCTATAAGGTGCCACTGGACTTTTGTTTTATTTTGCTATAATGGACTAACACCTTTACCCTGTTGTAATTACCTGCTTCTTAACATTAATAAACAGATTATAAAACATTTTAATCCCTATTTAGTAAAATGAAAATTTGTTTAAAATATGTCAATTTTCCTTTTCATATAATCAAAGGCTTTATCTTGGGGCTTCTGGTCCATTGGGAGCAATGGGGCATTCTAGAAATACATACAGTTGGCCCCACCTCTCTGAAAGAGCAGGTAAGCCTAAACATGTTCCATTGAAACGACTGCCTTGCCATTTTCTTCTTACTTAGCTTTAAAATTTGTACCATCAGTCAACCTATCTAATTCTCAACATAGTGGGGTATGGGAAAATGAGATCCCCTCACAACTCTGAGCCTTTAAAAGCTCTCAGGGTGGCTTACAGAACCAAAAATAATAAAATGAACAACCATAAAACTGAAAGCAATAGTATCATAATAACAGTCCACCCTACAAATACCATCTGTCAGTCACCTCTTGTGTTAGCTGCCATAATTACAAAGTGTTAACTAGAGCAGGATGATTTCAGAGAACAGAAATGCTCAAATGGGAGAAAGTATATCTTAAGCTGCTTTGGATCTGAACTATTGAGGGCTGTAAAGTAAAAAGCAGTGCTTTAAGATGTGTCTGGAGACTAAATGGGAGCCAGTGAAGTTCTCTCAGCATGGTTGTAAACGCTGCTTTCCGCATATGACAGGCATGAAAGCCTGATGAAAGGCAGTATGTTTAGAATATCAAGGAGTTCAGCCTAACCTTATCAGTGTGCTCTTTTAATATGTGTAGGGGCTTTTAAATAAAATGTGAGCACTCACACGAGATGGATTAGTACATATAAAGTAGGTTAACTAAAATTATTGCTTCTAGTAAAATAAATGTTACTTGATATCATCCAGAGAAAATGCTAATATCACAATTCTATGGATTTGGGTGCAGATATAAATTTGTGCAACAAACCTTAGCATTAAATTCAGCAAGGAAGTCAAAATGTTTTTTGAGATCTGTGGCAAGGATTGCTTCGATCACTAAAAATCGAAATCGTTTGAATTGCACATGATCCAGACAAGGCAGAAAGTTGTACTCTGGAAGAGATAAGAAAAGACTCCATGCAGAAGCAGCATGATGGTTTTCTAGAACTGATCTGTCGTTGTACAGCACAGCCTACAAGACAATTAAATACAAAAGTTTTCAAAAAAATCTCACAAAAATATGACTAAATAAAAATTTATGCCAATAAAGGTATTTGTTTGTTGACTAAATAAAAATACTTTATTTTTAGCTAAATATAAATTTCCTTTATCTAAACATTTGAATATTGGTCTGCTTAGCTAAGTATTAACTATTTAATTCAGTAACAGCTCTCTGTATTTCTCTGGCAAAGAAAGATGTTTCTCAACACCTGCTATTAGATACCCTTTCACTGAACATGTCAGGGTATGAACCTGGGACCTTACGCATACAAAACAGGTACTCTGTCACTAAGTCCATTTGTATTTTGTGAACTCTGACAGAGCCATTTTTGGCTTTAGTGAAACAGTGCATGTCTCCTTTTTGAAGTATCATGTTTTCTGAGTTAATCAATAATGGGTTGGATCCTGACTAAATTTGTCCATCTGCAAAATAAAACTTTCTGGCCTCCTCACTCCCACTGATCTCCATTAAATGCTGTTCCTGGGGGATAGGGGACCCTGAGGAATGATATGAGGGCAGTGTACAGTGGGGGAATTGGTGGACATTTTCAATTTGGTCTAGATCCAACTGTGGCCAAGGACCCTTGTCCTAGATGTGTGCTGTTTGCTCTGACTCCATCTTGGCTAAGTTTGCCTTGGCAGCCATTTTATGAGTTAGCTTTGGAGAAGGTAAGGTCAAGGCTATGCTAATAAGTGGCCAAAACCCTGGGTAGGAAACTGATTCACTGATGGGACATCTGCATGCCTACCCATTGCCACGGGGGCTTGCAAACTTGGTTACCCACCTCAGGCTATCAAGGTAATTTCATCAGCAAGTGCAAATCTTCCTGAGGGGCCAGATGGGCTTGATTACCTTTTAATGACCTTGCTTGAATGTTTCCTATCATCTTGCCTCGGGCATGGGAGAAGCCTCAACCCTGCCAGCCCTTTTATCCACCTTGCTTGGATACAAACACATTTTATAACCTTTCTGGGAAGCACCCCCCCCCCCCCGTTCAGTCACAGTGACTATCTGAGCAAGATTAGCCGCATAATAGTAGATCCTTACATTAGGGACTTGGAGCCCCCCCTTTCTGACTGGTCTACACATAGTTGAGAGTTTTATCCATGGACAAGATGGAACCTTCTGAAACCCAAGGGGCTGAGCAGCAGTCCCCCAACCCCACCTTCTGTGACCTGTCTTCAGAACCACTGCAGAATGGTGCCTCCCGATCCCAGCCCAGATAGGCAGTCCAGAAGAATACCATGACTGATGGTATCAAAAGTACTGAGAGGCCCAGGAGAATCATCATTCCCTCTATCCATCTCCCAGCACAAGTCATCCACCAGGGCAACCAAGGCTGTTTCAGATCTAAACGCAGATTGGAGGTGATCTAAATGATTTGCCTCATCCTGGAAAGCTTGGAGTTGTCCAGCTATCACCCATTCAATCTCTTTGCTCAAGAACAGAACATTTGAGACTGGTCGATAATTATTGAGATCTCCTGGGTCCAAAGTAGGCTTGTTTAGAAGTGAACCAACCAGTCAGCCAGCCCCTCCCCTCCAACTGATGATTCAAATATTTGAAATCTCAATTGTAGTTATGATGCAGAGCCCTTCCTACCTGTATACTTAGTCTATCACTGTATGAAATACATATATACATATATCAAACATGCTGAGTTTTTGTGAAATAAGAATAAGTATTTGTCAAATAACAATAAGGAAACTTTGCAAAGGAGAAAAATCCTACCTGAGGAGCATTTGTAGCTACCAGAAAAGCATTTGTACGACCAGGATGATCATAATCATGCATAGTGGCTGCTACATACAAAGCCATTAATTCTAAAGCTGGAATATTTGAGGCTAAACATCCATAACTTTCATCAACAATAATACAGCTCTTAGAGGAAATATAAGCAACTTGACTGGGTTGCCTATCTGCATCTAGGAAAAAATAAACATAAAAGATAGCATTTAATAATTATTTAGGGATAAGCAAGTATTTTCAATTTATATCCAGTAGCCACATTTTTGTGCCTAAAATTAAGTAACTAGTTTTTGAAGAACAAAAAAAGATATTACCCTTTCTGGATTTTCCTAGAGCCACGGCTTAAACTGAGCAGCAAAACAAAGAATTGTATTTCAGTTTTCATTACATTTTAAAGATAAGCTGTAAAATAGGGTTGTGCTTACCTGTAACTGTTGTGCATCAATGTCTTCTGTGGAGACACACATTGGGATTGTGCCTGTGCAGGCTGGCCACAGAACACATTTTTCTAGCATATAAGTTCCTAAAGGGGGTGTTCCTGCCCCTTCTGGAGTTGACGTGCATGGGTTTTCCTGCCCAAAGCATCACAAGCTCCGATGGCAGGCGCCCCCCTTCCTCAGTTCCTGCGGGGCTGCCACGACCTCCCACACAGCAAGAAGGAATTGTGAGAGCTCACAGAGGGGCAGGAGAGAGGGAATGTGTGTCTGCAAAGAAGACATCGATGAAAAACAGGTTGCTTACCTGTAACTGTTGATCTTCGAGTGGTCATCTGTGCATTCACACCCATGGAATCTAGTGCGCACGCGCTGGATCGATCGACATTGTAGTAAGCTCTTTAATGGATTTTCGCGCCCAGTCCCTCGGGCATGCGCAGGAACCCCACCGCGCATGCCCAGAGGGGTGGGCACGGACATCCCGCCAGTTCCTTCGAACTGCCGCAAATCAACCCCTATGGAAAATATAGAAACTGACAGCAGCGGGGAAGGAGGGTGGGTGGTGTGAATGCACAGATGACCACTCGAAGATCATCAGTTACAGGCAGAGGTCATTTCGGGGGGGAACGCGGGGGAATGCAGTTCCCCCGGGTGAGGTGCAGGGGGGCAGGGCACATGATGAAGCCCCGCCCCCTGCTTCCGGCCGCCCCGCTTCCAGCCCTCATTCAGCCAGGAGGAGGCAGGAGAAGAGGGAGGGTAAGTTGCT